TTCACACGGAAGTAAGATGGCTTTCAAGAGGAAGAGTTCTATTAAGGCTATTTGAATTGCATGACGAGCTTAAGATATTCTTTACCAAACAACCTGTTTCTGCACACGTTAATAAGCTTGTTGAACTGCTGCATGATGAGCAATGGTTGATGCAATTGGCTTATTTAGCTGATATATTCGATAAGCTCAACGTAATCTGCAAAGCATTACAGGGACGAGCTACAACAAAATTTACAGTAAATGATAAAATTTCTTCACTGAAAAGCAAGCTATCGTACTGGATTGAATGTGTTAAAAAACATAATTACGAATGTTTCACCGAAGCCGGACATGCCCACACCCTCCCCCACGCACCGCCACTACGGACCGCGCGCGCGACGACGTAGATAGCACGCACGCACTCCAGAAGTTTTTTTCGTCATTGCTTATAATTTTTCGTATACTTTCCTTAAGAGGTAAGTAATACTGTATTTATAATTATTATAATACTTTGATACTATACTTTTTGAATGCTTTTGTACTGTAGAATTAATGTCAGAGTAAGTTTTTGCGTGCTATAATTTTTTGCATATAATTTTGAGGTTAAAAAATATAATGATCAAGTTCGATAACTACGCGCCGGGGGCGCGGTATTGTATTATCAGTCGAGGGCGCGAAATTGTAAACTATGAAAAGTACGTTTTATTTACATTAACTTCTTTTTACCTCGAAAAAAGAGTTTGAACTTATTTGAATCTGTTTGTGGTATTTTGTATACTAAGCGAAAATACCGATTTTGATTAAATTTTATTCATTTATTGAGTATAACATAAACAGTTGTGTGTGGCATCGATTATTGTGATTATTATGACTTACCGTTTTATGAAAATAACAATAATATAATAAATAGATATAATCCCTACTTACAAATTAGGATAATATAACTTTATGTATTATTTCCGTTTTAGATGGACCAATCTGTGCCAAAGAAAAAGAAGAAGTTATGGAATCCCGAAAATTTGAAGGCTGCCCAGGCTATACGAAACGGGAGCAAAATAAAGGCAGCTGCTAGAAACTTTATTATCCCCGAATCTACGATTAGGGATCGACTTAAATTGGGAGAAAATTATGATCCCCCCATGGGGAGAAAGGCCACATTTATACAAGAAGAAGAGAAAGAAATGGTCTCATTTATTACTCTAATGGCAAAGAAACTTTATGGGATAACTCAGCAACAGTTGCGTAAATTGGCATATGACTTTGCTGTTGCAAAAAACATTAAAAATATTTTTTCGCCAGAGACGAAGATGGCGGGAAAATGTTGGGTGTATTCCTTTTTGAAAAGTAATCCCGGAATTTCTTCGAGGCTTCCCGAGCCAACAAGTATTAACAGGGTTTTGGGCTTTAACAAATCCGAAATAGCTATTTTTTTCACTAACTTAGAGACACTTATGACAAAGCATAATTTTCCAACCAATCGAATCTTTAATGTTGATGAGACAGGCATTAGCAACGTTCAAAAACCAGGTAAAATTTATGCTCCAACAGGACTAAAGCAAGTCGGAAAGGCTACAAGTGCAGAACGTGGCCAGAACGTCACAGTTGTATGTGCATTTAGCGCCACAGGGATATATGTTTCGCCGATGTTTATTTATCCACGACAAAGAATTAAACCTTCCCTAAAAATTGGTGGTCCACCAGGCGCAATCTATGAATGCTCTAAATCTGGGTGGATAAATGAAGATCTTTTCACGAAATGGTTGCATCATTTTGCTACAAATATTGGTGCTCATAAACAAAATCCGGCGCTCCTTATTCTAGACAATCATTGCAGTCATCAATCGCTCAACGCATATGAATTTTGTCGCGAAAATGGAATCCATCTCTTATCTCTGCCTCCTCATACATCGCATAAGATGCAACCACTCGATGTAACATTTTATGGGCCATTAAAATCAGCATATTCTCGAGAGTGTGACTTATTTATGAAAATGCATCCATTTGAAAAAATTACACATGATCATTTAGCTTCAATATTTAATAAAGCTTATACTCGAGTGGCTACGATGGAGAAGGCTGTCAAGGGATTTGAGGTGACTGGGATATATCCATTGAATCCTCATATTTTCGAAGACGAAGATATTTTAACTGCTGATCCTATCATTGAAGAAGTATCCACGGAAGTAAGGCAACCAGTTGTCGAAAATGAGTTTTTGGAACCAGCAATTGGACATGACGAATCCACTCGAAGTCTGCCATCGTCACCATCAATTTTAGACCCGTCCAATGAAATTAGATCTCGTACTCCCCAGTGACAAATCGACCAGAATCCTGTTGACGTTTTTGCTAAAGAGACAGCATCGGGCATACCATTTAACAGCAATAGAAATAAAGACACGCCTTCCGCTGCTTTAAATGAAGTAATCAGTAAAGATATCGCTGAGCCGAGCATTTCACGACGTATTTTAGAAGATTTGAGTCCTATACCACAAAAGACAATAAAAATACAGAGACGTGTAAAAAAACAGCATTCTATTATTCTCACATCAACTCCATTAAAGGAGCAGTTAGAGGAAAAAGAACGAAAGCGACAAGTGAAGATAGCAAAAGAAAATAACGCTGCAGTGAACAAAGTTAAAGAAAAGAAACAAACTAAAGGAAAGTCTGTCAAGAGAAGAGTTTTGAACGGTAGTGAAATTAGTGAGGATGAAGATAATAATATGAAAAGCGATAAGAAAAAGGTCTACTAAACTAAACTAACTAAGGTCTCTAAACTAAGTTAAGTGCCTATATTAAACGTCCAGTAGGTGCAGTAAGAGGAAAAAAAAAAGATTTAATTTTTAAAATGATAATTAAAAACCTTCAGCCTTTTTCTGTAGTTGAAGACGAGGGCTTTCAAGATCTCATTAATTATTTAGAACCAGGCTACAAAATACCTTTAAGGTACATATTAAGCAACACGTTACTAGATGCTCAATATTCAGACATCCAAAACAAATTAAAAGGAGAGTTAGAGAGTGCTAAATATATTTCGATCACCACCGATGGCTGGACTTCAAGAGCAACGTCTTACCAAGCTGTAACAGCCCATTATTTATTAAATTGGGAGTTGAAGTCGGCTCTAATAGGATGTTTTGAGTGTCATGAGCGACATACGGCCGAATATATTAAAAATGAGCTGAGTACGTTGCTCGTCCATTGGGGCATACATAATAAAATATTTGTCTGCGTAACAGATAATGCAGCAAACATGAAGGCGGCTATACGATTAACCAACTATGAACATTTGCCGTGTGTCGCTCACACTCTCAACTTAGTCGTGCGTGCAGGACTCCAGGACTGTGGACTCGGGGAGCTGATAAAAAAATAAAAACCATTGTTGAATATTTCCACAAGAGTCCAATAGCGACAAAAAAACAAATCGCAATGCAGGAGCAGTTAAAGCCTAATCAGAAATCATTAAAACTAAAAATGGACGTAGTGACCAGATGGAACAGTACCCTGGACATGATTGAGAGGATTTATTCACTTCAAGAACCATTGGAAGCCTCTCTTGGAATCCTACACAATCCGGTATAGAATCTTTCGGAAGGCGAATGGCAGACACTGCCAGATATAATAAAAATTCTGAAGCCATACAAGCAACTCACTGAGGAAATGTCTTCCGAAAAAAAAGTGACTGTTTCAATGGTTCTAGCTTCGACAGAAAGTATCATTAAACTTTTTTACAATTTAGATACAAATATTAATACAGATATAGGAAAGAAACTATCAAATAAAATAATAACGGAATTTAAGAGTAGATTCAAAAATTGTTACATGCACCCAGTGTTATCTAAAGCAGCACTGTTAGACCCACGTTTCAAGAAACTAGCATTTAGGTTTGATGCATCAAGTTATGAGTCTGCCAAAGATGCCTTAAAAACTGAGCTGCAAAACGAGTTTAACGGTCATAAGCAGTCAATAGAACCCAGTGAGCACGAATCAACCTTAGCTATATCTACTGGTGACACCGACGCTGATAACGACTTAATTTAGAAAGATTTTGATGTTTTGGCAACGTCAGCGTCTACTTCGAACTCTACAGTTAGCAGCAGCATAATTTCCATGAGGCAATATCTAGAAGAACGCATTATTCCTCGGAATGAGTGTCCTTTGCAATGGTGGCAGGCGCGGGCAATTCTATACCCCGAACTCTCAAACTTGGCTGAGAAATATTTATCAGTAATGGCTACTTCGGTACCGTCTGAAAGGACTTTTTCCAAATCAGGCCAAATATTAAGTGAAAGGCGCAGCTCTATTCAACCAAAAAGAATGGAAGAGATTTTATTTTTAAATATAAACCAGAGATTCTTGCAATAAAATATTTTTATTTAATATGTTAAATGCTAACGATTGACCATAACAATTACGGTATTCTAGGGTTAAATTTCATTTTAAGGAAAGTATTTTTTTTTTGTTTCAAATGTGTATTTATTTTATTAATATGTTTAATTTCAGTCTAAGAAGAAAAGGTTTTTGTTGTTTAAATTTTGTTTAAAACATGTTTTATTTTATTTTTTATGTTTAATTTTATTCTAAGCAAACAATTTCTATGCTGATTTATCGTTAAAATGTTGTTTTAAATTTTATTGTTAATAAATAATTTTTGACACCGATTTGTTGCTTTTACGTGTAATGTACGCATACGAATTGATTCGCTGCTCATATGATATGCGGCATCAGAAGTAACGAGTAACGTAACGATACGATAGTAACGAGTATTCATTGTTATAGTAACGAATACATACGGGTATCTACGCTTTTTTTCGTTACTTTTACAACTCTAGAAACTTCCATACATTGGCTTAGTATCAAAATATTCACTGATTGTGCTGCCATCTAAAGATTTAGGTACATAAACTTTGGCCACACTTTTACATTTTTGCCACTAGGTAGAGCTAGTTGACAACATTACAACGATAAACATAAAATTAATAACATTACATAGTTATTATTTATTTTTAACACTTTATTATGGATTAAGTTAGATAAAATTTAAAAAATATAGTAGCAAAATAATAAACACTTTTGAAAAAGTGGTTCATACCATGGTTCATACGTGAAATGAAACGTAAATGATGAATGACAGGAAAGGGAAAGTACGTTGTCTTTTGAAAACATTTTTCTGTCTTGTTCCTTGTTTCGAGGTGTTCTTGTGATCTGTTTTGTGCTCTTTGATTTTTGACCCTGCTTCTTTCTTGGACTCTGTGATTGGATACGTAAACGATTGACCCTACGCCTTGTATATACTGGACCTCGATATTGCCCTTTGATTTGGATTCCACGAAATTTTCAAAATGCCGAGAAAGTCTGCCTTTAAATGTTATTTTGGATGTATTCCATATACAGGTATGTTTCACATAATTATTTAAGTACATCCTACTAAATCCTCTTAGAACAATATTTATTTTCTTTTATTTTTTTACAAGTACATAGGTACTTTACAATGTTTTACATGATGATATTGTCTTTCAGGAACAGTTCACCACTTTCCACCAAATACCATTTTGAAGAGTGTTACCGAACGGCCAGTGGACGTCTTACCAAGAATGCTGTTCATTGCATATTGGTAATAAACTTGTAGTGTATAACTTGTGTTTATATAATTTGAGAGGAAAATAAAATGACTTTCTTACAAAGCGCCACTTTGTTATTATAATAATTATCTAACTAAATATTTTTATTAGAGATTGAAACATTCATAAAATATCATATTCGCAAAACCTTGTTATTGTTTATCAAGTAAAATAATATAATACACTAATTAGTAAGTAGCAATTTATTTCAATCTAATTAATTGTTTGTTTAATTTCAGATCACGACATTCTTCCAAAGGAATGCTTAGACACAGCAGATTTGTTGCTTATGGTTGATAAGTTATTCGACACTTTTAATGGACACAGTTATCAAAATTCAGAAAAAATGTACAAGCGTGCACTAAGGGCTCCCGCACACGGGCCACCGGCCACAACCACAAAACGCCGCCACTGGCATATTTCCTGTAATTTTCATACATTTTATATGGACTCGCCGCACACGGTTGGCGCCGGTGACGGCCACACGCTACAAATCGTCGCAGCTTGCTTCTTGTGGCCCGCACCGGCCACTAAACGCCGACACAAAAAGCCGCCATACGCCACTCGCGCGATTCCGCGCCCCACTCTCCCTTACCTCAGTAAACCTGTTACGAGTCGACGGTGACGCACGCGCGTAGTCTGTGGTTCATATAGGTAGATAAATATGGATATAGAATTATTTATATCAGAGATACAATTGTCTTTCCGCAGGTGCGATGCTTTTCCGCATGTTGGTGTCGTGGTGCTTTAATCCAGCATATAATAGAGCATGTAGTTCCCAAAACGTACCGATACTTAAACGAAAATGTTTAAAAAACTTTTTAGGATGGTTTAGAAGATTATCGAAATGTTCGTTGCATTTGTGTACATTCGTTAAAATTGGATGTATCCAATAACTACGGTTTCGTCTTCTACGACGACGTCTTTTTATCAAAAGTAGCGCAATTAAACCTTCTTCGTCCGAGTCCATTATGATACTGCATGCCTGGGTTAAAAAAAGTAGCAACCACCGACCGCAAGTGTCGACCACTGGCCACAAATGGCCGTCGCGCGCTTCAGCCACATCTGTAGTCGCTTCTAGCTTCTCGTGGCGGCGTTTGTGGCTGTCGCGAGCGGCTCGTGTGCGGCAACACTAAGACAGAACTCGCCACATTTTAAATTGTGGGACGATTTACTTCCAGTTTTAAAATCAATGAGATTTAAAGTGGAGAAAAAGTTACAGGATGGAACGATTTCGACGAAATTTGAACAAGTACCAAGTCTCAGGAACTGGATTTCAAATATTAATGTGTATAAAGAAATGTTTAAATATTTAAAAGAAACACACAATGTAAGTAGTCTGTTGACAAGAAACATTAACCAGGATCCATTGGAAAATTTCTTTTGCAACATAAGGAGTAATGGTGTCAGAAATACGTCTTCAACTTCGTTGGTGCATTTAAAACTTTGCTTATAAATAATTTAAGATCACTCGGTTGGGGCGAACTGCGAGCAAGATGATAATAAGATATTAAAGCCATTAAAAATATTGGTAAATTTAAAAGAAAAGAACGCAAGAGAACAACCCTCCGACTCTGTTAATGTTGATTCTGTAATTAACTACTTCATGCAAACAGATACAGAAAATTTTAGGAATTCGACTAGTAAAGAGGCAAAAAGATATGTTACTGGCTATATAGTTAAGAAAACATTACAGCAAATATGTAAAAAATGTCATACTTGCCGAATGCATCTGGTAAGTACATTGCCTCCGAGTAATAAAGATTATATATTAGAAAGAGATTATACCAGAAATTTGCATGATCATTCAAACACAATTAAACGAGGCACCGCAGCAAAAACGTCTGAAGGGTACAATTAAACAATTAATTAATATATTTTGTAATCTATCCCAGTTCTCTTGTGTGACTCATAAATTTGCGAAATTTCCTAATGGATACTGTTTCAAATATAATTATAAATAGCTGGTGCACTAATGTCAACAGAATACTTGGAGGAAAAACAAATTTGTGTCATAATAATGCGACAAAAATACAAGCGTTAAGTTATTATACTGCCCGTTGTAAAAGGAAATAAATTCTTTAAAAACCAAATATTACTTATCATTTTTGTCTACCATTTTATTCCGTTTCAGTTATAGATATATATTATATAGATAGATTTTGTGAAGTTAATTCCTATGTGTATGTTTCGAAATATAGATTTCCTTTGATAAGACTAGAATTTGATCTTGTCATCGAGTTATGGTCATCGTGGTATTTTATATACACATAAGAATTCATGTATTTTGTTGAAATAAATTACAGTCATTCTTCAGTATAAGGAGATTAAAAATACCAAAACCTCCTAACAGCGCCATCTACCTAGAGCGTAGGCGAAAAAGACTTTGAGGACAGCGCCATCTATCAACTTGGGTACTCAGTTTTTACAATTCGAAAACCTGAGTGGCCTATCTATAGCTATTTTATAGTGTATCATCTATGATCTTGACTTTTTCATTGTTCGAACCACAGATTATATTTTCCCGCTACGCGATGACATTTCGTTTCTTTTTGTCTATATGCTTCTAACAATAACATAATTGTTAGTTTTTACAGTTTTTACCTGGCAACATTATACATTTCGCATTTATACTGCTGTCATCCTTTGATCTGTCACTGCTGTCACACTGACACTACACAGTCGTCACGTGTATCCTTGTGATTTGTTTGGCGCCTTTTATTGTTTACTTTCCAGCTTATTAGTGTTTACTTGCATTGTTTATTCCGCGTTCAGTTGAGCTTTCGAGTTCCTGCGTGTTGAGTACTTGTGATAGTGAATACTTTTTTGTGACAGGACTCTTTTGTTAATACTATAAACATGTCTCGTTCTAACGTTCGGTGTGTTAACTGCTGCGAACTTCGGCTGACGATCGACATCGTCTTTCTAACGAAAACGAAGACTTCTTAATATTATAAGGTTGTGGACTTATCCAAGGGAGGTGAGTAAAAAAATTCAGGTCATTTTTACAATAATGTCTACAGTTACTGAAGATTTATAATAGTTGATGAGTTTAATGTATCTGAGAAGTACAAGTACCTGCGCATTATCCACATTTGATTAATTCCGTTTGTGAAGTGATTTAAAGATTATTCTACAAGTAGGTATAAGGGCTTTCATATATAACTGCAAAATCGCATCGCAAATAATAATATCTACGAGCTCACACGAATGCACCGTATGAACTGCGGCGTTGTTTCGTATGATGTTATGATTGTAACGATATGTGTGTGTGTGTGTATGCATGTATGTAATATGAAATACTTATATTTACATTTCTACGTAATGATGAGTGCTGAGGTATGAAAGACTTGGGTATGATTCTGGTGGTTGATGTGAATAATGAGAGAGTGGGTGTGTGCGTGCGTGCGTGCGTACGTGCGTGCGTGCGCGCGTGTGTGTGTGTATTACTACTTTATGAAGAACCGTAAAGCCGCGTTCACACTAGGTGACATTTGCCCTATGTGGCCCTATGTTTCATTACCCTTCTGGCAACGTTGTCGCTCACTGTGGCCATATATTTATAGAACCACGCGTTATTGTTGTAAAGATATGATTTTTTTTTATTACAGCACAAGGTTGTGAAGAACCTAGTACGTCACAGGCTCTAGAGAAGCTTTCTTCACCTCTAAGCAATAACTTAACCAGATCGCTTAGAAGAATATTCCTCGCCGATATTAGACCTACTTGCAAACTTGTCCCCTTTTAAAAGTCCTGACTATGTATCAGATTCATCAGATTATGGTGATGACATAATAGTTGCTGGCGGCAAGAAAATGAGGCTACCTAACGGAAAGTCTTGGCGCACTATCATAGAAGAGTCTGCTTCTGAAGGCGAAAATACTGCAAAATCACCACCGTTTATACCATGTTCTGATGACGATACAGTGAGTATTATTTACGAAGTACCTACGAAAGGAAGACCAAAGAAAGGCCGACAATTTAAGTATGGCGGTCTATCTAGGATGGAAAGAAAGAGAAACAGACATTTTAAAAGGCTTTTCACAACCATAAAAACATCGAAGTCCAACCGATAGTATTTATTGATTATAAATGTACATAATTGTAAAACAAAGTACTGGGAAAAAATAGATTCAAACAATCGACATAAAATATTTGAGACTTTTTACAAACTAGAAAATTACAATACCCAGAATATGTACATCGCAGCAAGCGTCAAAGAAGCCGACGTTAAAAGAAGGATGACTAATAGCAATATGAAGAAAAAATTCTCTCGTAAATATCTATTAGATAAAGTGGAAGTATGCCGGGATTTATTTGTCAAAACACTTGGTGTTTTTACAAAGAGAGTTAATACTGCTTTGACTAAAATGAGGTCACAAGATAGTTTAGATAAAAGAGGAGCGAAAAGTGGAGGTAAGAACAAATGCAGCGATGAATTAGTTTCCCAAGTAAGATATCATATAAACTCTTTTCCTAAGTATAAATCACACTATAGAAGAAGTGAGCGCAAGATCGAATATCTTATGCCAGACATGACTTTAGACAACATGTACGATTTATACTGTGAACATGTAGGAGAAGCTGAGAAGGTTAGTAAGGCTATGTACACAAAGTTATTTTACACATATTTTAATCTTAAACGAGCGCCTCTTAAAAAAGACACGTGTATCAAGTGTGACACATTACAAGCAAAATTAACTCATTGCAAAACTGCTGAGGAAAAAATAGCCATAGATACAGAACGCGAAGAACATTGCCGAAAATGGGAACAGGCGCGGAATAAAATGAAGGCTGATTTTGTTCTGGCTACTCAATGTAAGGAAACAGAATGTCTCACGTTTGATCTACAAAAAACGCTTCCAATGCCTAAGATACCTACTGGAATTATTTACTATAAACGACAGCTTTGGCTGTATAATATGGGTATTTATTCGGCAAAAACTAACTCAAGTGGGTGTTTTGTTTGGATAGAAGGAATGGCTGGGAAGGGTGCTCAGGAAGTCGGCTCTTGTCTATTAAAATACTTAGGCGAGCATATTTCTGAAGATGTCGAGGAACTAATTTTATGGAGCGATTCGTGTGGCGGACAAAATCGTAACATAAAGATAGTTTTGAAGTTAAAAGCGTTTTTGCATTGTCATCCCACTTTGAAAAAAATAACACAAAAGTTTTTGATTCCCGGACATAGTTACCTACCCAATGACAGAGATTTTTCCCACATTGAATCTGCAATGAAAAAATATCCGAGATTATACACTCCTGATGATTATATACAAGTTATGAAAGACTGTAAGAAAAAGAACCCTCTTACAGTGACAGTGATGGCAAAATCAGATTTTCTGGGATCTTCTAAGGTTGAAAAAATGATTATTAGTAGAAAACGTGGTATTAACAAAGAATGTATTAATTGGCTACAAACTCGGGAAATATACATAGAAAGAGACTCACCAAACTCAATTTATTTTAAAACCGACTTCTTTGGTAATGCCGTAGAAGTTAATATAGGGAGAGCACCTGTTCGTGGCAGACCAGCTTTAATCTTAATGGAACATTTAGTTCCCTTGTGGCCGTCAGGGAAGCCAGTATCACCCGCGAAACTAGCCGATATTCAATCCATATTACATCTCATACCACAAGATGCACAGAGTTTTTATAATGGTCTCGACTGTGATAATACTATAGAAGACGACATATATGGACTAGACACGGTTGATTTTGAAATTCAATTTGATGGTAACGTCGAATAAACGTGTAATTTTGATAAATTAAAGCTTTATCCCGATTATAAATCACATAGTTTCATTTATATCAACAAATCCCTAGATTGTGGTTCTTTTTTGTATATGAGAAAACATATTAATTACTTAATGTTTAAAGGAACCACATGGACGATTTCTTAATTATTTTGAAGGTTTACCAGTTATCAACAAAAAATTATATACACATACTAAATTTAGTAATTTATCAACATATTTAAATAAAAGTAATAGTAATTTTACTTCATTTAACAGTGCTGCACATGTTTTTGTAAACCCTTTGATATCTCAAAAGTGTGTGTTTGCTGTGTGGTTCCATTTTGCATAAATACGGACATTTGGTGAACTCTACACATCTGAAAATACACTAGACCATTTTAATTGTTTCCAAATAGAAGATATGATTTTTATACTAGCAGAACCTGTAAGGGTTTTTAATTTTGAAGACATCCAGAGTCTGCCAGAATATTTATTTATATTTAATTTTTCTTTATCCCAACATCAACAAATAATGAACGAAACAAGAGGACTTCGTGAAATGCACATAGGAAGTTTTGCATTAACTGCATTATTATGCAAATTAAGGACGGGAGACTCGGGAGATAGGCTAGCGAGTTTGTTTCAAACGCCAAGGCGCACTGTGGAAACCCTGATGAACAAGGCTAGGGACATATTAGCTCAGGAGTATTTACATTTA